GTTTCATTGCTCCTCAGAGCTAAGGTGTAGATATTTATGGGGAAGCCTGCCTTGTTGTGTGGGTGCTGGCTATGAGCTCAAGCCTTCATCACTGTTAGGTGTTAAACTGGCTCTCTAACCCTAGTCTGTGGTTGCATTGTTGCTTTTCTGTTTATCTCTTTTGTTGTATTTATTATTATGTTTCCCCTTCTTTCTTTTTGTGAGTTAAAACCTTCAGAGTTAAAATAGCTTTAATATAAACATTAAAATTAATTAAAACAAATAGTGTTACTATCATAAAATTTTAATGGGTAACTGAGAGATTATAGTATTTATAAGTAGTTTATCTTATTCTGCTAGCATAAAACATTAAAGGCTTCATTCTTAATGTAGAAACTTCAGTGTCTTACTAGGTTCTTAGACATTCCTACCGTATAAGACTGTTGTCTTAAACATTATTGTAAACGGATGAATCTTGCCCGCCTGCCCATTCCCAAATTACTAGTCAGAGGCTTAATATTATTTGCAAACTGTTTGGTCTATGGCTCAGGATTCTTGTTAGCTAGCTCTTTCATTTTAAATTAACCCATTTCTGTTAATCTATGTATTGCCACATGACCATGGCATTACTGGTCTGCTGGCATGTAGCTACTTGGGTGGTGGACTGGGCCAGCTGCCCTTCTTCTCTCTGTATTTTTCCTTGGATTTCCTGCCTGGCTATAACCTGCTTTGCCAGAGGCCAGAGCAGCTTCTTTATTAACCAATGATAGCAACACATATTCACAGCATACAGAAAGACCATCCCACAGCACATTACCACTTTATACATTGAAAATTTCACCAGACCATTTTATAATTTGACTTCATTGATTGCACTATTTAATCAAGATAAAATTCACACAATATGTAGGTAAACTTTCAAAAATGTAATTTAGTGTATTCACAATGTTGCACAACTACCAACTTCTTCAGTAGAAAAAAAGCCTCATATTTATTAAAAGAATTCATTAAATTACCCAGACAGTACTTCCTCACCATCCATATGAGCTAAAATTTTATTTTCCACTTTGTAGGTTTTCCTTTTATATTCACTTTTATTAATTTATTCTTTAAAAATTTTATACATGCTTACAATCCATTCTTGTCACACTCAGCCCTTCACCTTTTCATCTCCCTCTTACACCTACAATGCTATCTTATCAATGAAATTGTTTTCATGATGTTTGTGAAGTCTAGTTGATGCAGTTTTCTATGATTGCTTGCACTTCAGTGTCAAATCTGAGATTCTACGTAAAACACTAGTCTATTCTCCTTAAAATATTCTAGAAAAAGTCAAATTTGTAGGCCAGTTTCACAAAGTGGTTCTAGAAAAATCAATTGCTTTCTTATGTAAACTGTTCTAAGTTATATTAAAAGATAAATTATTGAACTCATTTCAACAGTTACATTGATATTGGTACAAAGGCCAAATAATGCTTCCTCAAGAAAAGATGTCATGTGAGCTGGAGAGATGGCTCAGAGTTTAAGAGCAATGGACTGCTCTTGCAGAGGCCCTGGATTTGTTTTCTAGCACCCATATCAGTTGGCCCACAACTGCCTATAACTCCAGGGATCCTATTCTCTCTGGCCTCTGAGGGTAAATGCATAAATGTGGTGCCCATAAATACATGCAGACACATATATTTATGTATAAAAATAAATAAATCTTAAAAAAATAAAGATTTCTTGAGCCAAGTTCATTTATGTGGAGACATGCATCATAAATAAATTTGCATCATTCAGTGACATAGTTAATAAGTAGACAGTAAAGTGCAAAGATATCACATAAAGAACTGGTTGGAATTTCCTTACATTGATAAGTTAGAGGATAAAAGACATTTGGCCATCTATACATATGCGTAAGAAAAACTTTGGCAAAATATTGAACAACTATTTAGGATAAAAACTCTCAGCAAACTTGTATTAGAAGGTAATTCTCTTTTTAAAACCACTTTCCCCTGTTATTAAACATAGATTCTTTTCTTCATATAATATATCCTATTACAGTTTCCCCTTCCTCTACTCTTCCAAGTTCCTCCCCACGTCCCTTCTCATCTGGATGCACTCCTTTTTTGTCTCTCATTGGAAAAGAACAGGCTCATTAGAAGAGAAGTGTCATTTCATAACATCTACAACAAGCTTGACTAAATGTGAAATGTTAGAAATATCCACATTAAAGTCAAGGACAAATTGGAGTTGTATATTATCATCTATTGTTTAAACATGAAATATATAACAACAGTAGTGAAGCACCGAACTATATAAGAGGCAAGAATATCAAGAAAGAAATAATAAATGGTATGAGTCTCTAGTTGGAAAATTCCAACAGAATTATTTTATAAAATACTCAAATTTATCAGAAACCAGAAATCTGCTAAATACATCACTAAATCCAAAAACTTTGCCACATGAAACAAACAAACAAATAATATAAGCATAATAGCAAATAACTAAGACTTACCCATAAATGAACACAACAACAATGTATAAAAGCTTTTTGTAAGCAAATATAAAAAAAATGTAGTCAATAAATAAATCAGTACATTTGTTCAAAGGGAAATACCTAATGTGAAGATGTCATTTCTTAAATTGTTTACATATTTACTATCTGATAGACAAAAAATTGTGTCCCGAAATTTATATATTGAAACTCCAACGTTAAACCATAGCCGAGAAAATTCTGCCATATATAGGTCTTTAGGCAAGTCTGTAAGGCATTTTCTTGATAAGTACTGTAGATTAAACAATCCTTATGCTCTCAGGCAAAATACAAATTTAAGATCTTAGAAAATTCCAGAAGAGAAATTATGGATGATTCAAATGTGAGAAAATCATCAAATATGTTTGCCTTATTTATTACTAAACAAACATGCTAAGTGATTTATTTCATTTATGTTGTTTCAAGTACACTTATGAACTGCAGGTTTAGTTCCAAAATATAAAAATTGAAAATAGTTATGGCATTTTGGTACAGCAATCAAAGGAGATTGATACAGTGCTTTTCACTCAGCATCCAGTGTGGTGTCCAGACTTGGATTGTTGTTTATGAAACTTAACCCTGGAAGGCATAGGCAAAAGAATAAAAGAACAATATTAGTAACAGATAAATAGCAAAACTAAGAATCCCTGAGAAAGACTAAGTATTGACTGAATTAGTACTTGTATTTGAGCAAGTGGTCATATTCCCTGAGATAAAGACAGGTCTGTAGCCCGTAACTGAAGAAGACAATAGAATCAGTTGGAGGAAAATGTTAAAATTTCACTCTAGCCTTTTCATTGTGTGACAATGAATCTGTCCTGATTCACTGAAGAATCTGGGTCAGTGCCTTGGCTTCTGTCAGTAATGTAGAGGTCATACTGAGGCAGTGCAAAGGTTTGAATTGAGGCAGAATGATTCTAGAAGCTTATAACATCTTTATTTTACTAATAGTTATTTCTTGCTGAGAAATGGCCTTTAAAATAGTAGTATATCAAATGGTTGCAGCCTAGTTACATGATAGATACAAATAGTAAGATATCAAGTATAAGAAATTGAATGTTTCATATATAAGAAGGGTAAGTAATCTTTCATGAAAAACAATACACAGACACACATATTTCTTAGGGGTATAAATATATATGCTAATATAAATGGAGACAAAAAATTGTACAGCTCAGGTTCTTCCAATTAAAAGAGTAGACAGAAGATTCCAAAATCCAGTATTAACTGGCGAACAGAACCAAATTCACAGAGTCTTTTTCTCTTACAACCCCAACATCTATTCTGGGATCCTGGCAGCTTCATCATCTGTATCCAGTGTCTGAATCTGATCCAAGGCTTGCAACTGGGAAACATCTCAGAGCATTCTTGGAGTTGGTATTTTCAAGGGACCTTTAAAGAAGTAGCCAAGATGAACATTTCCACCCTCCACCCCCTTACATGCCGTGAATGCTCAATGCCATGCAACGGTGACAACCCATCCCATGCTTTCATCACTGGGAAACCGCAGGTACAGTTGGCAGTGCAAAATAGTACTGGCTTCTACCTCTTTGATTAGTGATTTCTTCAGAGGAGAAAAGTGACAGAAAGATTAAAGGCGATGGCATTTAGAACTTTGCCCCTGTGCTCTCTGTTACGTGTGAACGGAACCCCGCACTGTTCCTTACCCGAACCCAATGGTAAGAGACTTCCGGTATGGCAGGCAGTCCCAACTTGAGCTCACATCTTCCTTGAAGTACTAAGGGGCAAATGAAGACTTTGATCTCAGGTTAGTGGACTCAGGTCAGCAAAGGAAAACGTTTTCTGAGGTTTACAAGAAATAAAGGATAAGATTTTGAGTGAGAACTGAGGGGACTCTCAACATAGCAACAGAGGGTAGACACAGACCTTTGCCCTTGTTATCTACCCTCGGAGACCTTTGGGTGGGGCTATTGGGGAGTCGGGCTTCAGGGAGGTAGGGACCTTGTTCTATGGTTTATGGTTTCAACTGAAGACTAAAATCTGTTTAGCCTCTATTGGCAGCTCTGGAATCCCCAGAAAGGATAGCTGGCTAGGGCCCTGCTTCATTTTTCTCTTAATGGTTACAGATACAGCTTCAGAGGAGCTATAAATGGGAAATTCTGATTGCATGATGATCTTCAATGTAAATTCAAATGTGGCATGATGATTTTAAAGGCAAATTCAGTGATCATTTCCTATTTCATGGACCCCAGACCTGCTAGCACCTGCTCTTAGCTCTAGTCTGCCCTAGGCAGGGCTACCAGGTGTCAATCAAACTCACATTTACTCTCTAATTTCCTTTAATGGGTTCTCAGGAGGGCAAACTAACTGAGGCAAGGGCACTGTAGATTCTTAATATATTGCTGTTACAGAAGTTTGTAGATGCAAGCTTAAAGACCAAGATGGTCTCACCGTTCTTCAGATGCACACACCATCCCATCCTCTCATCCCTAGGAGCCTGCATTACTTGCTCTTTGGTTTTTACTCCGTGACCAGAATCATCATGCCTCGTGGTCATAAAAGTAAGCTCCGGGCGCGTGAGAGACGTCATCAAGCCCGAAGTGAAAGCCGGTCTATTCAAGAAGCTCAGGCCACTAAAGCAGAAGAGAGAGAGACACCTTCCTCCTCTTCTCCCCTTTGTAGTAGTGATGTTCAGAGCTTCTCTGCTGCCAAGTCACTTGGCAAATCTAAGAAGTCTCAGAGGCCCACCACTGCTTCTGTAAGTGCTCCATGCATCAAGTTGGGTGAAGGTGCCAAGAACAAAGATGAGAAGAGATCAAGCACTTCCCGGGCACTGCCCTCAACTAGTTATTCGTCTTCAACCCAGAGAGATGACCTTGCAGTTTCACTGGTACTGTTCATGCTTCGAAAGTATAACAACAGGGAGCTAATAACAAAGGAAGACATACTAAAGCAGGTCATCCCACAGAGCAAGGAAGAGTTCCCCAAAGTTCTTAAGAAAGCCTCTGAGCTCATGGTGCTGGCCTTTGGTATTGATGTTAAGGAAACTGACCCAACCAGACACTGCTATGGCCTTGTCAGCATATTAAGTCCTATTGGTGATGAAATTATGCATGGTGAGGCAATAATGCCCAAGAGTGGCCTCTTGATGATAATCCTGTGTGTGATCTTCATGAATGGCAACTGTGTTAATGAGGAATATGTCTGGAAAGTGCTTAGTGAGATGGGGGTACATGTTGGAGTCAATCACTTCATCTATGGAAATGTCAAGAAGCTCATCACTAAAGACTTTGTGAGTGAGGGGTACCTGGAGTATCGGCGGGTACCCTTCAGAGGTTCTCCATGTTATCAATTCTTGTGGGGTCCCCGGGCCCACTATGAAACCAGCAAAATGAGAGTCCTTGAGTTTCTGGCCAAGGTCCATAACACTGTTCCCAGTGCCTTTCCATCCTTGTATCAGGAGGCTGTGAGAGATGAGCAAGAGAAAACCCGAGCCAGATTTGCATCTATGATTCTTTTTGGCATCATAGCCAGTGCACAGTCCAATGTCAATTCCAGCAATTCCTCCAACCAGCACTGAAGTCTAAACATATTGCTTTCCACCACTTTTAAAGAGAACATTCAACCAACTAGTGGGAGCCTGAGGTGATGTTGGAGAGAAAACAGTGCATCTCATATTTATAGCCTTACTCTACATGAATAACTTTCAGTTTAGCATTTCAAAGTTTTCAAAATTTACTTCTTTTAGAAACGCTGAGTTAGCGTCACCATCTAAGTATGTGACTGATACATGTCATACAGTCAACATTGTTTATGATGCTTAATAGTTAAGAGTTTCAGTATTGAAAGCAAATTAAGAAAAATTCATCTTAGTTAACTGAAACAAGAAAACATGGCATCAGAATAGGCATTTTCTTAGAATATAAAAAATTTCAATAAAATTGTTTACAACAAGAAAACGTAAAAAAACATAGTGGATGACGCACTCTTGGCTTTCCTGATTCCTACTCTCCATTCTACAAAATAAAATAAAATTAAGCTTATGTATTTGGATGTGTTTCATTCATTCAACAATGTAGGAACATAAATTATAATAGTTAACCTCTTAATCACTGACATTTTTATTCCCCAAACAAACATTTACCAAACATCTGTTCTTTGTAATAGGAATGATTTGTAGGGAGGAAGAAGACAGAGAAGGAAGAGGAAGAGAAAGAGTTGGAGGAGGAGGAGGAGGAGGAGGAGGAGGAGGAAACAATGACAAGATGATGAATGAGTCACTGTTTTTAGACTTTTAGAGTCTAGGAGCAACTATTAAATAAGATGGCACTCTATTCTCTAACACATAAACGACAAGTGCAAGGGAGGGTATGGAGTAGGTGTGAGAATTAGAGTACTTATAAAAGGAGTCACACACAAAACAAGATAATTTGGGGCCTAAGAAAACCTCAAACCTTTCCTAAGTGGAAGACAGAGCTCAGCTAAGCTGAGTATTGGGTCAAAAGAAGGTGTGGAATTGGTGATCAGGGCCTGGCCCCAAGTATGGTGTGTCACAGAGGTAAAAGAAAAAAAACTCTAGCTGGGTGGTGGTGGCACATGCCTTTAATCCCAGCACTCAGGAGGCAGAGGCAGGTGGATCTCTGTGAGTTTGAGGCCAGCCTGGTCTACAAAGTGAGTTCCAGGAAAGGCATAAAGCTAACAGAGAAACAACAAACATCTGGCTGCCTGGACAGTCACCCAAGGTTCCTCTGCAACACTGGGACATCCATTTTTGGCTTACAGGTCTAGACTATCTGGCAAACTTTTCTATAAAGCTTGAATTTTGAAGGACTGTCCTGCCTTGTTTTCGCAAAGTTCGACAGTCTTTTTCCTTTGTGTCTTGCTTGTCGAGTTTGTCCAGAATATTGTCAGCAGTCAAGGCAATGGCAGTTTTTTTGTCCAAATGGCTACCTTTGCTATAATGAAAGTAAATTCCATATGACAGTTCTTTAATGCCCATCATCCTTTTATGAAGTACAATGATGCTGCCAGGAGCAAATATGTCTCACTGTCACAAAAAGCCCTATGTTAACAAAACACTTTAAATGTCATATTCTGTAGGTCTTTGAAGTGATTGAAGACCATCTATCTATCTAAAATATATCTCTGTATAATCTTGAAAACATATCTAACATAACTACAAGTTTGATTGTTATAGATGACTACTAACCTATGTTTCTTAATTGTCCTAAATGGTTTAAAATAACTTTCAAGAACTAGAACTTTACCTTACATTTTTTTTGTGTGTTTTTTTAAGACAGGGTTTCTCTGTAACTTTGGAACCTTTCCTGGAACTCGCTCTGTAGACCAGGCTGGCCTCAAACTCACAGAGATCCAACTGCCTCTGCCTCCCGAGTGTGGGGATTAAAGGTATGCAACACCACTGCCTGGCTGCATCTTTAAATAAACTGCAGTGTACAATAACTTAAATAAGAGTATAAACACACACACATATAACAAAAATAACTTTAAATTTATATCAATATACAAAAATCCACACCAATGTAAAATATTAGAGGCTAATAATTGTCTTTTATTCTATATTCCTATATCCCCACTATTTGATGAAAAACATTAATAACCCAATGAATAACCAAAACCCACCCACCTTACCATTTGGGAACATGGGTGTTGTGTTCTCTAGACAGCTTCCTGTTGTCTCTGGGTGAAGGCATCTTTTTAGGGAACCTGAGAAAATTGAAATAATAGTCAAGTCCTGGGAAAACTACTTATAACATTTATTGTCCATTGTCAGTACACTGGAAAAACAAATAGCTTATCTGTGGTCCTGGATATAATAGTCTTATGAGAGTGGTCCTGGATATAATAGTCTATGAGACTGGACCATCTCAGCAGTAGCCTCCAAGCTGTTCTGGACACAGAACTCTGAGAAAATGGAACAGAGGCACTCTAAGAGGCTGGATCACCTGGGCCACCCATTTTCATTGGTTTCTGGGCCACTTTCTCTGAAAACAAACAAACTTTCAAAAGAAAACATACATATGGACTGTGCATTGTACACAAGTCAGTCAAAGAAAATTTTTTGTTTTATGTTTGAGTAGGTAAAATATGTCACCTGTCTTTTAGTTTTACAGGTTTATTTCTTTATATCTGTAGCCAGGATTTTCAGATTGTTTCCCCTGATCAAACCTGATCACTATTAACCTTGAATGAATTCACAGACTTTCATTGTCTGTCAAAAACCAATGCATTTTTTGATTTACATTTTAAAGTTAAAGAATCCCTAAAGTATCTAAGCTGGTTTAATTCAGCAGTCCCTTTTACAATCCCATGTCTCTCGGCAGTTGTTTTTCATTCATCAGCATTAAAAAAATCAAAATTAACACAACACCATACAGGATCCAGATTCCCTGTGTATTTTTCATCTTTATGTGGCTTATTTTTATTATTATTTATCAGCTATTTACCTTTTTCTTAGACTGTCTATAACCATTTTCTTTTCTTCCTTAAGCCTACAAACACTTTTAAACACACTGTAACTTGTTTAAAGTTTTTTCTCCATCTGAGTCTGTCTTTACTGTGTATCTCTAGCCTTTTCTGTCTGCATGAGCAAAAGCTTAAACTGCTAAGCTACTGCTGGGTCCACCCCCTCCTAGGGTCTGTGAGAGCAGAGCCTTAAGCTGGCAGGGCCAGTCTGGAGTTGCTTTTGACCAGGAACTGCATTCAACCACTCCAGCTCTAGGAAGTCAGTGTCTGCCCTGTGGCAGACATTTTTACATAGCATTTTGTTCCTATGTTGTACTGGCATGGCAGAGCCCCTTATAGCGGTCATATCCTTTTTTTTTTCTATCCTCAGCTTTCTCAAGCCCTACACAGAAATACAGGACATGGAACACCAAATGCACCAGGCTTTTCCTTTTAGGCCACCAACCAGCTCCCAAATCATGACACACTATTATTAGTTTTGAATGCTTAGCCTAGCCTAGGCTTGTTTCTGGTTAACTCTTTAACTTAAATTAACCTGTTTCTCTTTATCTACCTTTTGCCTCGGTGCTTTTTATCTTTCTTTTTGTATGTCCTACTTTGTGTCTGCTGGCTGGCAGCTATCTGGCTTCTGGCATTGGGCTTGTCTCTCTCTTTCTCCCTCATTCTCTCCTCCATTTTCTCTCCTCTCCTCTCCTCTCCTCCCCTCTCCTCCCCTCTCCTCCCCTCTCCTCCCCTCTCCTCTCCTCTCCTCTCCTCTCCTCTCCTCTCCTCTCCTCCCCTCTCCTCCCCTCTCCTCCCCTCTCCTCTCCTCTCCTCCCCCTCCTCCCCTCTCCTCCCCTCTCCTCCCCTCTCCTTTCCTCTCCTCTCCTCTCCTCTCCTCTCCTCTCCTCTCCTCCCCTCTCCTCCCCTCTCCTCCCCTCTCCTCTCCTCTCCTCCCCCTCCTCCCCTCTCCTCCCCTCTCCTCCCCTCTCCTCCCCTCTCCTCTCCTCTCCTCCCCCTCCTCCCCTCTCCTCCCCTCTCCTCCCCTCTCCTCCCCTCTCCTCCCCTCCCCTCCCCTCCCCTCCCCTCCCCTCCTCTTCTCTCCTCTTCTCTTCTCTCCTCTCCTCTTCTCTCCTCTCCTCTGTTCTCCTCTCCTCTCCTTTCCTCTTCTCTCTTTCCTCTTATTTATCCTCTCTGCCCACCAGCCTTTCCCATCCTTCTTCTGCCTAACCATTGTACATTAGGTTCTTTATTAGACCAATCAGGTGCCTTAGGCAGGCAAGGTGAAACAGCAACACATCTTTTCATAATTAAACAAATGCAGCATAAACAAATATAACGCATCTTTACATCATTAAACAAATTCAGCAGTCACATGTAGCATACCTTCACATAGTTAAAGTAATATTCTGCATCATAAACAAATGTAACACATCTTTACTTAGTTAAATAATATTCCACAGCATATACAGGTAGTCAATGGTAATACTAAGACAAGACTTCTGCAATAAATTCCTCTATAGCCACACTTTGTCTCTCATGCCAACCTAATGAAGATCTTCTTTTAATTCATTTTTATTCTCACCACTCCACATTTCTATTAGGAAATGAAATCAAATATTAAAGAAAAGATCTTGGTGTCCAGGTACTAACTGCAGGTTTAAAGAAGGTTAGGTGAGAGTGAGACTCAAACTATCTGTAGGATTTGCTTGCCTGAGGCTCTTTTACCCATATCTCTAAGGATCTTTCAACAGCGATTCTACCCTGGACTCTGCACCTGTCTCCAGTTTTAGCTGTTTCCTGCATTACAGTGTCTCTCTCCTGGATCTTCATTATTGTGCCCCACTGTGTATGCTGCAATTGTTCTGTAGGTTACTTTTTCTTGCCCTTCATTTCTGGAGGCTGCATTGCTCCTCTCTTGCTAGAGGAACAGCCCAGAGTCTCTTGCTTCTCCCTGATGTTGAGGCCTCTATGTCCCTCCAAGTTCTGTCACTCACTATGGCCCCTTTATCACATATGAGCCTCTTCCATACAATTGTTCACTTTACACAGAGAAGTTTACAGTCTTTTTGATCCTCTAGGTGATTTCAGATCCAGTGGTGAGTGGAACCTGAC